CTGCCGCCGCCCGCGCCACCGCCGCCGCCCCCGGGCGCGCTGGACGCCCTGTCACTCAGCAGCAGCCTAGACAGCGGGCTCCGAACCCCCCAGTGCAGGATCTGCTTCCAGGGCCCCGAGCAGGTCAGGCCTGGGTGCCCGGCCGGTCAGGGAAGGGTGGGGGCGCGCACCTGGGGCGCCTAGGGAGACCGCGAACAGGGGGCGGGGCCTGAGGTGGCTGGGCGGGATCCGGGACACCGACTGGGAATGGAGTGCGGTGGGGGCTTGGTTGGAGACTCCTGGAGTTCGTGTTTGGGGTGGGGGCAAGGGTCTCCAGGAAGGGGTGGGGCTTTCTCCCGGGAGCCTCAAAAACCTTCTCACCTACTAGTGGGGACAACCCTTCTCTCCACTCTCCTCACCCCAGGGTCTCTGGAGGCTGAGGGGGCTGTTCTCTTGGAAGGTGGGCAGAGGGGAGAGCGCTGCTTCTGTTCCCACCTTGAAGGGAGGGGCCCAGCCCGCACCCTTGCCTCACTCAGTAATGGGGTACTTTTCTTCACTTCCCATTCTGCAACTTTCTCTCTCATTCCAAAGAGCCTTCTTTATTTAAATTTTGTGGACAAAGTTGCCCCGGAATAGTGCCAGGGGGTGTCTCTATATAGTGCGAGAGCGTTCCTTTATTAAAGGGGAATATTCTCCACACCCACTCCTAGGATTTCTTCCCTTTTTGATCCTTGGAGACAGGACCGTAACCCACCCCAGTTTGGACCAGATCTGTGAAATAATTTACAGTGATGGGGTGTGGGAAGGAAGGCATGGCTCAGAAGCTCTGACCCTCTCTTCCCTCCTTTGGGAAGACTTAAAGACTGTCCTCCTCAAGTCCAAGAAAAAAGAAGACAGTACCTCCCCACCCCTTTCCACCCACCATCTCTTTGGTTTGGGAGTTCTAACTTTTTTAAGCTGTAGCCTTAGTCTCTCTCCCTGTTTTAGGTGAAAGGATTGAGTTTTTTAAGGTGGGACAATGACTGACCTGAAGGGGAGATTCCCTCTCTGGAAGTGTAGCTGAGTGGGGTCAGGGTGGTGATGGCTGACAGGACACCTTCCCACTCTTCCTCCAGGGGGAGCTCCTGAGCCCTTGCCGCTGCGACGGCTCAGTGCGCTGCACACATCAGCCCTGCCTCATCCGCTGGATCAGCGAGAGGGGCTCCTGGAGCTGTGAGCTCTGCTATTTCAAGTACCAGGTCCTGGCGATCAGCACCAAGAACCCACTGCAGGTGAGGGGCAAGGAGAATACTGAGTCTGGGGCAAGGGTCCTACAGCCAGTAGAATCAGGGATCCTCCAACCCATTGCTATCCAGTCGATTCCAACTCATAGCTACCTTGTAGGACAGAGTAGGACTGCCCCATAGAGTTTCCAAGGAGCTGCTGGTGGATTCAAACTGCCAGTCTTTTGGTTAGCAGCCGAGCTCTTAACTACTACCCAGCAGAAGCTTATTTCTTCTTGTTTACTGTTTTCCTAAAGCCACTCCTCCTCGCCATTACCACAGTCTGCTGTCTAGAAATCTTTCCTTCATTTGTTTATTCACAAAGACATCTATTGGGTATCAGCTGTGTTCCAGACACTGTTCTAGGCACTGGGAGTACAAAAAAGGAAAAGATGATAATGTTGAGGAGGATGATGATAGCAAACGTAGTATTTTCTATGTACCAAGCGCTTGGAGTATGTTAACTCTTTTAATCCTCGTAACAATTCTATCAGGTAGGTACCATTCTTATCCTCATTTTACAGATGAGGACACTGATGCCCAAAGAGACTAGAAAACTTGCCCAAGGTTACTCAGGCAGTAAGTAATGGAGTTAGGATTTGGAATTCAAACCTAGATGTTCTCGCTTCAGAGCACTTGCTTTTCTAGAAGCAGACAGACAAATGGTCTCAAAGTGAGAAATGCCACATTCTGGGTTTGATCAGGAAACAGTTGTTAATCCTGCATGAAGCATTTGGGGAAGCCTCCTGGAGCATCCTCCTCTTCAGGTCCACCTACTGCCTGGCCCTCCATCCCCTTCCATGACTTTGTGGACCCCTTTTTCCCGCACAGTGGCAGGCCATCTCTCTGACAGTCATCGAGAAAGTCCAGATTGCGGCCATAGTTCTGGGTTCTCTCTTCCTCGTCGCCAGCATCTCCTGGCTCATCTGGTCCTCACTCAGCCCTTCAGCCAAGTGGCAACGGCAGGATCTGCTCTTTCAGATCTGCTACGGCATGTACGGCTTCATGGATGTCGTCTGCATAGGTGAGGGCCCCTCTTTCCCCCTTACCTGCTCAACATCTTCCTCAGACTCATACACTTAACTTCCTTGCCCATCCCCTCAGCTTTCCACCACTGGGGGCCTTTAAGGCTATCATGGTGCCCCCCCTTTCCTGCTTACCCAGTGCCCATTGCAACCCTATGTTCTCACTCTGGAGAAATGCTTGCTTAAGTACCTCTGGCCTAGGTCTAGGCAGCAGTTGACCCTCGATTTCTCATCCCTCTTGCTCAGGCCTCATCGTTCACGAAGGCTCCTCAGTCTACCGCATCTTCAAGCGCTGGCAGGCAGTGAACCAGCAGTGGAAGGTCCTGAATTATGACAAGACTAAGGACATCGGAGGAGATGCAGGGGGAGGGACGGCAGGGAAGCTGGGCCCTAGGACCTCACGGACAGGCCCCCCATCTGGGGCCACCAGCCGCCCCCCGGCTGCCCAGCGCATGCGGACGCTCTTGCCTCAGCGCTGTGGTTACACGATCCTGCACCTCCTTGGACAGCTGCGGCCACCAGATGCCCGTTCCAGCTCCCATTCTGGCCGTGAGGTTGTCATGAGGGTCACCACGGTCTGAAGTGGATGCCAGGAGCGGGGATCTTGGGTCAATGCACTGGCCAGAGATGAGCTCTCATGGCTGCTGACCACACTCCTGGCTGGAGGTACCACCTGGACAAGGTGTCTGGGGCACACTTACTGCTCCCACCACTGAGGATCTCTGCGGGCAGCCTCAAGGTGGAGACATTGTCTGGCCTCTACTGCCCATTGAGTAGAGATACCTGGATGACATCCAGCCCTCACTGACAGCTCCTCACACTCATCCTCGGGCAGCCAGTGGGCAGATGGGGAGAGCAGCTTTTCTTCCCTGGAGAGAACCATCCTTACCTCAGCTCCTAGAGCCTCTAGGCCCCTAGCTCTACTGCAGTGACTTGGTCAGGGGGGACCAATGCCAGAAGAAAGGGGCTGTAAACCCCCTACTCCCTACCCCATGGCCACAGGGCATCTGGCAATAAGACTGGTATACATTGACCTCCCGTTCCCTGCATGAGGGCGGGGGGACTTCCCACGGCTTCTCCCCCCACGGCGGGGAGGGCATAAAGAATCATTTATATGCACGTGGAGACTCCTTTCTCATCTGGGGCTTTTCTGGAGGCTGGGAAATGTGGGGAGGTTTCTCTGCACAGGTTGCAAATCCCAAATGCAGCAATGGGTGCTGAGTTGGAGGTATAACTCCCACTTGCTGGTGAATAATTCACATTGGCTGCTAGGTGGCAGTGCTTAGAGGTATCTAAGGGGTGGACCTGCCACCTGCAAGTTGTGTCATTTAGAAAAATATCTCTCAGCTGTGGTTTCGCTGTCTACTTCACAGAGTTGGAATGAGGATAAACAAGGGATGGGTTGAATGCCATTGCAAAGAAAATTGGTAATGGTATAAAAAGATTTCTAGACTAGTTGATGGTCCACTTATTTCAAGCAGTAGCTGGTATAACAACTTCCAAAATATGTTTTTTATTCGGAGTTCAACAGAGCCTTGGAATTTTGTGTTGAGTGATGTAATAGATATGGAAATATGAGAGGAAATGTACATTGTAAATGTGAAGGATGGTGGTTACTTGCAAGAATGAGAGTTCTTCTGCCCTCCTAAACATCAGGGCCTGGGGGATGAAGGAAGGCTGGAGCCATTATTCTTGCTCTGGGAATTGTCTGCGTTCTATTAGGCCTTTCTAGGTACTGTGCTTACCCAGAGAAATGGCAAGAAGTGAATTTAGACTCATTTGGAGTGAGACAGAGGAATTCCCAGTGTAAGCTGCTCCCATGGAAGTTCAGGGTCACAGGCCTGATCCTGATGTGCCCTAACTATAGGTATTAACTGAAAGGTATTGTGCTTGGAGGCAGCAGCACAGAGGGCTGTTGTTGATAGAGAAAAGGTTTGGGAAGGACTGGTTAAAATGTGGGTCAGCCTGAAGCCTAGTCCGTTTCTCCTGAGGCCTTGGAGATGTGTATTATATGAATTATGGTGTCTTCTAAGTGAATTATTCATCAGCAATTAATATAATTACTTTAGACATTGCTAAAGTCAGATCCAGAGGCCTTTCCTATTTTTGGGCCTTCTCTCAGGGAAGGTTCTGGTCTCCCTCCTTCCTGTGGACGTTTTGGAGAAAATGTTTCTCTATCGTTGTTATTTGACATGGAGTTGGCCTCTGACTCACGGCGACCATGCATAACAGTGCAAAATACTGCCTGGTCCTGTGTGCCATCCCCATGATCAGTTGCGGATTAGATCATTGTGATCCATAGAGTTTTCATTGGCTGATTTTCAGAAGTAGATTGCCAGGCTTTTCTTCCTAGTCCGTCTTAGTTTGGGAGCTCTGCTAAAACCTGTTCAGCATCATAGCAACATGCAAGCCTCCACTGACAGACTGGTGGTGGTTGTGCATGAGGTGTATTAGCTGGGAATCGAACCTGGGTCTCCTGCATGGAAGGCGAGAATTCCACCACTGAACCGCCAATGCCCCATGTTTCTCTATTAAGGGCCCGCGTATCTCCCAGGAAGTCATGATCCCCTACCCTTCTCCAAAAGGGGCCTTTGCCGCTGTCCATGGTGCTGGCTCCAGACTTGCCTGGAAGTGTAGGAACCAAAGCGGAACTAGGCTCCCAGTCAACTGGAAATATTGAAGTATATTCACTTTCAGAGCCCTGGTGGTGCAGTGGTTAAGAGCTCGGCGGCTAACCAAAAGGCCAGCAGTTCAAATTTAACAGCTACTCCTGGAAAACCATATGGGACAGTTCTACTCTGTCCTATAGGGTCGCAATGAGTTAGAATAGACTGGATGGCAATGGGTTATCCACTTCCATTCTATGAGGCTGAGCCTTCCATCTTTTCATGAGAAATTGTTTCCCCGAGGAGATAATTCTCCACCAGGGGAGCCAGAAGGGCCGGACTTTACTGAATTGCCACTGGTGGGAACTGGTGGGAATCAGAAGGGAGATAGCAAATTAGAGTGACTACCAGTACTTATACTGGCAGATGGGGGCTCAGGTAGATACAAATACATGTGAGGATTCCTTTGCCAAGCCTGGGCTGTCCCCTAGTGATGGCCCCATATGGAAACTTAGATGTACCCAAGAACATAGACACACGCGAGCGCACAAACACAAACACACTGCCTCCACTTCTACCCTGGGTCCTAAAACCAGGCCAAGTGAGACAATATATCTCCCACACCCAGCACCAGTAGAGGTCTTGGTATGGAAGTTGAGGCCAGCAATCAGCATGGTCCCCTCTCCTTTTTCCAACTTAGAGATCCTTATCCAGGAAAGGGGCCATAGGAACTGCTGCCCTCCCCAAGTGAGCAATCGTACTTGCCCAATGGGAAGTGTGGGTGGGCAGAGTCCTCACTACTGCTTCCAGCGAGAAGGCTCTGAGAGCAGGCTGGGCTTTTAATCTTCCTCAAAACTCAAATCTGCTAAAAATTAGGTCACTTAGGTTCAAGTCAAGCGTAGTGATAGGGGAGTTGAGGTGGACACTGAGCATACAGTAGAGAAGGAGCTGAGAACAGGGGCAGTGAATGTACACAAGCCTTGGTCTCTGCACTAGGCTTTGGGTATGCCCTGCATCTGGAGATCTTACATAAATAGATACCCCCAGAAAACCTGGGTGGGTAATGGAGTTTCTATGATCAGGGAACCATGGCTAGGGCAAGGGGCTGAGGTGATGGGGAGGAGGAGGAAGTGTGAAATGAAGTCTGCATCTACACCTAGCTAATTGGAATAGGGAAGAGCAGGAGGAAAGGGGCAAGTCCTGACAAAGGGAGAGTAATCTGGGATACAGATGGAGCTTCGAGGAGAGTGCTGAGAGATTTATTTGGGTGGAAGATGAGTTAATGTGTATACATCACGAGGGGAGAACTGTGTCCAGCCTCTGTGGGGGGCCAGAGAATGCTGACTCAGAGAAACAGAGGCTCCCTCTGGCCACCCCCTCATCCTGCCTCAGTGCCCCGGGGCTTCTGCCACCCCCACACTCTGCTTTCACCTGTCTGACTCCACTTCTCTTCTTGTATCTCTTTCAGTAAAGGAAATTATCTTTGAGCATCTTTTCCAGAGAGGGCAGAGTGACCAGTCTAGGACATTCTTGGGTCCTGGCAGTCCAGGTTCCAAATGTACTTCCCCTACCAAAGAACCAGCCGCCTCTGCCCATCTCGGCAAATTCCCAGCTCCCTGACCCATTTCTACAGCCCACCCCCCACCCGCCCCAAATCTCTTACTGCCAACCAGACTTGGCTGTCCTCTCTACAGACAGAGTATGTCAGGTTTGTGATGCAAGGCACTCTCCCAGGCAACCAGACCTCCCATTGTTATAGGGGTCACTCCCAGGACCTGATAAATCAAGGTGGGGGATAGGGGTCGGAGTCTTGCCTCCAGGTCTTCTAGGAAGTGAGAGTGGGAGAATAAGTCAAAAGTCAAAGATGGAACGTTTGATTTTTTAATTTCAAAACTATGAATATTTTTCAATTTCAATATATAAAGAAACGTAGAGGCCTGGGCAGGGACAGACCCAATGATGTCTCTGCCTGGGGACTAAGTATCAGGACAAACCTACCTAAGAGTGACCAGAGAGCCAAAGAAAGTTTTAAAAATCGTAAACCAGGCAGACCCACCTTCCCAGGGGCAAGATGAAGGCGGGGGGGTTAGACGGAGCCAGGTAGGCTGCTTATCCCTTTTGCCACATGGTCCGAGTCAATCTGACAACGTGTATGGTGTCACCTAGTTAGAGATAGACCCTAACAGGATATAAAGAGCGAATAAGGCCTTATCCTTCCCATCAGTGGGCTCACGTGCAAAGTGGGAAGACCAGCCAGGTGCAGACCAGATGCTCATGCTGTGATAAATGCTTAGCCAGCAGCATCCATAAACCACTGTGAAAGTCCCAAAATGGCAGTGATTGAATCCTTCCTCAGGTCACCCAGCATTATTAGTTAAGATCTGAGTTGACCCTTGAAGGATGCATATGATATGACCAGGAGCAGGGCTGAGTAGGCAGAGGCAACATGGTTTTCTCAGGGCCTGCTGGTACGGGCCAAGTGCATACTTCCCACCTAGGTCAGGGCAGCCTCAAGCACTTAGCTATGGTCATTCTAACCAGTTTGGTCAGATAGACAGGCCTCAGGAGGAAGACACATCTCTTGGTCTTGTGCCTAATAAGTCATGTGATCAGGGGTGATGATGACAGCCTGCGTCCACAGTGCTATCTGTCCACAAACTGTAGGTTGATGCTCCTCTCGGGTACCAGGACGGTCCGGGTCATGGGTCTGATTGGGGCAGCACCTGGCTCAGGCTGCACCTCAAAGTGGGTCAAGATCTGGAAAGGGGGGAAGAAGGCTATCACTACGGGAGGGTTCTGTAATAGTGGGCTCAATTGGTAAAGGGCATTAGTTAGTGTTACGATGGTCAGTGTCGGGGTGGCACCGGTGGGGGAATTTCTGGTTAATGAGAGTAAGGAATTATGGTGGAAAGAAAGAAAGTCCAAATCCCCTTGCTCACTCTCCAGGCCTATAATGGGATTGCCATATTTCTGAGAATTAGGTCTACCAAGTTTTATGTTTTTCTATGCTTGTTAGAGAAGAAGAGCTCACAGTTTTAGAAGGTTGAGGTCTACCATCTGGGGAAGTTATAAGGTCTAGATCACTCACCTGAGCTAAAGCCATTTGCAGCTCGAGCTCTGCCAGGCGTCTCCCCATGCAGCTGCGCTTGCCAAAGCCAAAGGGGAGAGATGCAAATGGGTGGGGGGCTGGACCCTCCCCCAGCCAGCGAGCTGGACGAAAAGAATTTGGCTCTGGGAACTGGGCAGGGTCACGAGAAGTGGCATAGTGGCACAGAGTGACCAGTGTCTGGTGAGAGAGGAACACAAACTTGTCAGTTTGGGCCTAGGAATGTGGGGGAGGGACATAGGTGGGGGGGCGGGAGAGGACATATTGACTAGGACAAAGGCAAGCCCTGGTCAGCAGTGGGGAAATTTTCTGGTGCCACTTTTGGAATGATTTATCCACTGCCCCATTATATCCTACAGAAAGGCATTCAGGCCAAGTGGAGTGTTTGAAGGGCTTGTGGGGAGTTGAGAACAGGGCTGAGGCCCAAGCTAGTGAGGGATGGGCTCAGCAAAAGGGGCTCACAGGCTCTACTCACATTTTTTGGGATAATGTAGTCACCTACATGAATGTCTTTGTCTGGGACACGGGAATTTCCAGGTACCACAGGGTATAGCCTAGGTTTCAGAGCACAAGAGAGAGACAGCAAGGTGAGGCTGGGTGCTCCTTCCTATCTTCCCCAACGTTCAAGCCCATTTTTGGTCAGGAGTACCATTTTTCTCTGCTCTCTCTCCCTATTCTGTCCACCATCTGCTTCCCTAGCCCTTGCCTGTCATTTTCTCTAGCGCCTTCTCTCCTTCCCCCTCACCTCAGCACCTCCTTGACCACAGACTTCAGCAGGGGCAGCTGGGACAGAGTAGTGGCTGGGGGCTGGGCACAGGAGCTGGGGCCCAGGGCAGCCGTGATCTCGGAGTGGAGTGCCCTTTGGACTTCCCGGTGCCGAGACAGCTCATACAGAGCCCACGAGAGAGTGTTGGACACCTGAGGGGACAGGTAAGAGGTAAGAGGTCAGAGGTGTTGGATGTGGGGATCCAGTGTAGGAGGCAGCATATGGGGGCAGTCTGGGGCAAAGCAGGTGCTAAGCCAAGTTTGTCTAAAAGGCCACTATGGGTCCTGTGGCTGGGGAGGCTAAACTCTGGAAGTAGGGTCATAGCCTAGAGAGAGACCCTCACAGTGTCCACTCCGGCCAGTAGCAGTTCTGTCACATTCCCCAGGATGGACGGGGCAGGCAGTTTTTCTCGTAACAGGAAGTAGGTCAGATGTGCCCCAGGTCCTGTGTCTCCCTCAGGCTTTCCCTGGGTCCTCATGGCCACCTCGGCCTCTCGCCGTTCCACGTGCTGCTGAGCTGCGTGGGGGAAACGGCACAGTGATGCCTCACCACTCCTGGGCAGCCCTCTGGCCCGCAGCCCCACCTTGTTTCTGTGCCTTACCAAATGCAAACATCTGGTCCCAGTCACGGCAGAGGCGACCCCAAGGTCCAGGTACTAGGCGGTGCAGCCAGTTCGGCATCGCCATAGCTAGCAGCGTGGACACGAACACAGAGCCCACCGCGCGGATGAATGTCTCTGTGTCCGGCGGCACTTCGGCCTCGAGACAGCCCAGGCGCGAACCCAGCAGCACCGCGGCTATGCCTGGCCGGGAGGGGGCGCTGTCATGGCACTGGGAGCCCCGGGTCGGGTGCCTCCTATGCCGGCCCCTACTTCTGTCCCTGGTACTCACCTTCTAGTCCGAACTTGTAAAACTCTCCCGCCACGTCCCGAACCAGGGCGGGCGGCCCAGAGCCTTGTCCCCGCTGGCGCCGCAGTCGTCGCACAAGGTCACGGACCACGTTGTCCAGGGTCCCGGCGTAGCTGGCGGCCGCTTGAGGCCGAAGGAGAAGCGGGGCCAGGAGGCTGCGGAGCCTCTGCCATTCTTCGCCTTCCCTGTTGGGGGTGAGGAGAGAAGCGCCTCAGGGCGGGTGGGGTGTGTGGAGGCGGCCCGACCGGGCCGGCTGCCGTGGAAAAAGATGGCCAGGAGAGCGAAGCGGTTGTGTCCGCCCCCTCAGGGTACAGAAACTCGCCCTGCCTGCGCCCTGCCTTCCCTTCTCCCAGTCTCGTTACTCATTTCCTGCCCCAGAGGGGTCTGGGTTCCTCAGTAACCCGAGTCACAGAATCTTAAGTTCCACCTAGGTCCTGGTACTGAACCTCTTACCGGTTCCCCCAGTTCCTAGCATTCTGGTTTCACAGGTAAAGGAGTGGGGAAGCGGAGGCGACGGTGGTGCTCTACCCGAAATTGAGTGAAACAGACTGGGGTGGGAACCCCTAGATGCCAGAATGTTGGGGAAAAGGGCCGACCTCCCTTCACGCCTCCAGACAGACTTCCTCGGGACCTGCCGCAGGAGAGGGGTGCAGCGAGGACTCACGCGGTGAGCAGTCCGCAAGCCCGCTGCCGACGGCGCCGGTGCTCGGTCCAGGGCGAGAAGCTGCAGCGCTCTGGCCGGGGCCCCTCCTGTCGCAGCAGCTGCTCGATAAGCGCAGGAGCGGCCACGTACACCGTGCGCACCATCCCGAAACTGGCCAACCACACGGGACCGAAGCGCGCGGCGCCCTGCACCTGGGAGAACGGGCGGAGTGGACACTAGAGACCTGGGCCGGGGACCCCCAGCTTTTAACCCGTGCCAAGGCCAAAGCGATTGGCTGGCTTTGAAAGAGGAGCTTATGCTCCTCCTCTAGCGCCCAGCTCAAGTCAGCTCTTGATGCTCCAAACACCACCTTTCCATCCCTAGGAAGTTTCCGTGATGAGCAAAACGGAGGGACTCTGCGCAAAGCAGGCATTCAGGAAGACTCTTTGGTTATCAGGCCGAGCCAAAGCAGAGAAGTCGTTAAGGGTTTCCCACCTGGACTGTCCCTCTCAGGCGGTGCCCCCACTGAGTGAGCAGAAAAGCCTGTACCTTTAAGCAGAAAACACCTAGCGCGCGCGGAGGGGACCGCGCTCTTCCAGCTCCCACGGACTGGTCCTGGGCTTGCAAGGCCTCCAGGCAGCCGCCGTGAGAAGGCGCTTTTTGAGCGCACTCCTCTGCTGGGTTTCGGAACAGACTCGGCACAATTCCAGCCATAGCCCCCAGCCCCAACTTGCCTTTTCCATAATTCACGGGCGCCTTTCCTCACTGGCCCTGCCTCCTATGTTCTGCACTAGAATCTTTTCTGAAGCTGTCAAAGCCAATTTCCCCAGTTCTTAGTCCCCCGGAGTCCCTTCCCCCCTACCTGCAGCTCGTGTAGCCGAGACAGCCCCCCCTTGCAGAAGAGTTCGGCCAGAAAGCCGGGCGTGGAGGGGCCTGGGATGTCCGCCAAGCTCCGGGGGGCTGAACAGGCGCCTCTGGAGCCCGGTGAGGCGCCCAGCTTGGGGGCCCAGCGAACGCGATGAAACACCCTAGCGCTGAACTTGAGGGTCAGGGTCATGGTCTGGTTCAGGAAGCCCGCGAAAGAGGGCGCTTCTCCGGAGCATCTTGCCTGCTTCGCCGAATCTCTATTTAATCCTTGGGCGAGGAGGCGGCGACGCCCCCTCTCCGAACTCTTCGGCCAATCCCTTCTCAGTAGTGGTCGATGCGGGGGATTAGCAGCCAGCGGGTGCCTTCGCAGTAACGGTAGGCGGGGCTGGGGCTGCCTTTGCAACTCCCTTGATCTCGTGTTGTACCCTCCTGGGAGGGTGGCCTAGTCCAGCAGCCTAAAGGTCCTTTCCAGGGAAAGGCTAGTTGGAACTGACTAGAGGGCAAATGGTCTGGTTCTGGGCAGCCGAACTACATTAGTTAGCCCCTGGTATTCCCACCACTTCCCCAGGGAGCCGGGCCCCTTAGGCCTATCTTCAGGAATTCCCCATCCTCCAGTTCCTCCGGGAGGGGAAGCAGGAAGAGGCACAGCTATAAAGGTCCCCAAATTCTTGGCTCATTTGAGATGCACCTTCTGCACACGGTGAGCGTAAGTTTTCCTTCACTAGCTAATCTCTCCTCTCCTTTACAGGTTGGGCAATTGGCTGGGTGTGTTAACGGGTTAAATTGGCTCCAGAAGCCTTCATCTTTGTTGCGGGGCGCGGGGCGGGGGAGGGTGGGTCTGTGGTCAAAATATTTCATCCTTCCAGCCATGGGAATTTCGGGCGTGAGGAGCAGAAATGAAAGAGCTTTTTACAAATTAGAAAAATTCACATAATCTCTCTGGGCCTCTGGACCGAGCAAGGGCTGAGTGCTCAGAATCCTCACCTGACTCAGTCCTCTCTGGGAGGTGGGGCTGGGAGGACTTTCTGGTCGGCAGCCCCCTTCTACTTTTAGCCTCAGAATCCTCCTCAGTTTAGCTCACTGCTCCTCACTCTCCCACTCCCCGCCC